AACTAATCTACTTATGACTCTCCCTAAGGAGCATCTGGTGAACCTCTAACACTCCCTACCACTCTTTCTGTCGCTCCCTCTTCATCTATAATTTTTCCTTTCTCCCTCCTATCAGCTCAGTACCCTGTAATTCCAAATCTCTCGCCATTTCTAAAGCCTCCATTTCATCTAAAACTCCAACAAAAATCAAAAAATCTCCAACATCTAAGTCTTCAGCCCTTTCCGGTTGCCCTCCATCTTGACTTTGTCCCATCCTTACGTCCATCCCACTGCTCCTGCATCTAAGCTTTGCCACAGTTAGGAAATTGAGATTACTGGGATCCTATAGCCACGGACCACACGTTCCATTAGCATAATGAACAGACAGAGGGAAAAACGTGATGTGTGAGCACATGTTGTTGTGAGCATTGTATTTGTGTTTGTGTAGTTGGATTAAGGTCATTATTTTGGAGGTTAGCCTTTCAGATTTAGGTAAAATGGTTGGGAGGATAGCGAGTTGCGTCAGTAAAATACGGTTTAAATTCACCAGAAAAACCACATACACGCATGCACGCCACCAAACACACACACACACAACACACAATACATAACCCACACACACACACACCCTTAATGGATAAGGCAACATGACATCTACAGGGACAATCAGAGTGTGTGTGGTTTTTTCCACCCAAAAGTGGGTGGCAGTATTGGTCAAACTTTGAAGTTACTCTGGTTGAAACACACACAGCTGAATATTAACTTATTCGTTAAAGCATCAAGGACAAAAAGATACACTCTTTGCCCCTATACCCTCACTGACCTACTAACACAGAGGATGCATAAAAACTAGGAACTAGAATGATACAGGAATCTGCTGTGGTGATTTGTCTATGCTGACTAAATATAATGTGAGGGAGTTTGTGTTTGTTTTAAGTCGCTGGAAGGAAGTACTCAGATCCTCTCACTCAACGTAAACAGTGCCAATAGCCTCAAGGAAAAAATACTCAACTGAACGGTAAAAAAGTCACCTGCATTCCAAAATTGGACGTAAAAAGAACTAAAGGTACTCAAAAATAATCCTTCACTTGTTATTATATCATGTGATTACTCTTACCTTAAAGCATTACTGTGCATTTATGTTGTATCTGGCTTGATTTTATAAAGATATCATACATGGATCATAGGATTAATTTCTGTGTAATCTTACCCTTGATTCTCTTAAAGTATCTAGTACTATAGCTGCTCAATAAATGTAGTGGAGTACAATTTTGTATCTATGTAGTTGAGTTGAGAAGTATAAAGTAGCCATAAATTGGAAATATTCAAGCTACAGTACTTTTAATGCTACTTGTACTGTAATGTTGCTTTCAACCACTGGTTTTTTTTAAATTAAATTAAATGTGCTTAAGCTTTGGTTTAATTCTCTGGAATGATTCTCTCTGAATTAAACCAGCTTACTTTTAGCACATCCAGCGTATATGTTTTCTGTGGGCTTATTTCTGTCGTAAATGTGTGTCTTGGCGCTGGTGATGTGTGTGTACCCAGAGATCCAGTTCTGTGCAGGTCAGGAAAGCTCTGTCTCTTTCCAGCCCCCACCCGGCTCTCTGCGCAGGGGCGGGTGCGGCCCAGATGACCAGCATATTGACTCAGGATAGGAGGAGCACTGTGTGGGCAGGAGGGGCACGGGGCACACCACCATGGTCTGAGACACACGATGCAGCCATGGACAGCCAGGGAGGAGGGCCGAGAAAAAGGGAAGGGAGGAGAGAAGAGAAGTACGAGACCCGAGAGAGTAAGGAGCAGGTTGAACGAATGGAGAAACGAGGAGGGGGTCAAAAACCAGAAAAGGCACAGACAAAATAAATAAGGCGAAAGGAGATGGGATAGCAGAGGAGAGGGACAGAAGCAGCAAAATAGAGACAGGCAGAAATTGTAGGAAAGGAACAGGAGAAAAAGGAAAGAGGAAAAAAGACGACACAAGTCACACAGTGACCAGACAGAGGGTAGCAGAACATGTAGCGAACAGTATAATATGTAGTAAGTAGAATAAAGGGGGTGCGAATACCATACAGCTGGTGTACTCATGCTTAGAAGAGCTAAACATTGTGAACACAGTAATAGAAATTAGTCCATGGGAAGTGTATGAGGCATGAGACATGCATAGGTGGACGATATGTTGAAGTTATAGACTGATAAAGACTGACTTGAAGAACGAGTTGAAAGAAACACACACAGAAACTAGCCAGATGCCCATGGTAGGAAACCAGCACTAGAATTTATATTTAGCTAATTGTTAGTAGCAAAATTTTTTCAGTCTGTGGGTCAAACAATCTTAGGATAAACAAATCTCCTTGACTTCCCACAGCAAAAAATGCCATAACACCTGTCAGCATCATGAATTTCAACACCTTCTCTCACATTCATTAGTATTAATGCATCCTTCTGCCAGAATGTGGGTGGAACTACATGTCAACACTTTCCTATCTTTCAAATAATCTCAATTTCCACATCTGCACGTATAATCCACCACTCCATTGTGATACCCGGAGCACCTAGGTTTAAGTTTCTCAAGGATTCCTCACAGTTTCCTCCAAAAACACCAGTGGAAAAGATCTGAGTTCAGCACAAGATTCCACATTGCTTCTAATTAGCACTTTGAAAAAATGTGAGGAGTGGAGGAGTATTTTTTACCGTTCTTTGCCACGTCGACTAAGATACCGGGGGGGGGGGGGGGGGCGCGATACAGCAAGGGAAAAGGGCAAGAAGATGGTAAGTACAAGATGTAGAGCAGTGGTTAAAGTTTAATGTCCCTCTCTTCATCCTCTACATCACTTCTCCATCCAGCGCTCTCTCTGTCCTTTGCTCTGAACTGACATAGCTGAGCTACTAAGGACTAAAGAGAGGGATGTAAAAATAGGAGGAAGTGGACAAAGATGGCAGCATTAATCAGTGTGAATGTATGGATTGCCGCCATCCTGGGAGCCTGATAGCAACAACGGGTAAAAATAAAATTAATCACTCCTTGTATCCCCATGCAAAGCAGCCAACATCTCTAGCCCAAAGCCAGCACAGTTATATTGCAACACAGACCTTTTCTGTTCTGCTACCTTTCTGTCTGTCTTTTCTCTGAGACAAAAGATCTTGCTGAAACAAGGCAACCTCCCTCACTCTAGACTTCTGACCTTTTTCCGACTGTATCCAGGAAATAGGACACAAAAACACACACCACAGACACACACACACAGTGTGTCAGGTGAGGCTCCTGATTTCCAAAGACAAACCTGCAATCCTGAAGATGCCCCAGCAGATGGCACCCAGAGTTCCGAGAATGACATTGCTTTTGCACTTTCATCTAGAATAAGCTTTCTCATTGCTCATGAATACACAACAAACTTTTGAATTCACATACATTCCGGTATAATTACTCCATTGGTCTTGATGATTAACTAATGAAGCCAAAGTGAAAAGTGAAGTGATGGTGATGAAGCTGAGGATGAGGTGAAAGATGATGAAGTTAAGATGACTCCATTGGTTGAAAAGCTCAAGGGAACAACTTTGTGTGCATGGCCTGTCCACAGTTTGTGTTTGCATGTCTGTATGTCTTCAATGATTGACAATAACACAAAAACACTTTTGAAAGATGGCCAAATACTGGAAATATGAATAACTTGCAATTAAACATATATTCAGGAGTAGTTAAGTGTAAAATGGAAGACAAACAACAATGGAGCTACACAATATCTGCTTTGCATAATCTTCCTGAATGCAATGATCAGTTATGACCTCTGTTTTGACTCTCTCCGCCTACACCTTCATTTGCAAACCACTCCATCAGTTAATGCTTCTTCATGTACTGAAAAGGCTCCCAATTAAGTCGTAAGGTCTTGAACTGTTAGAGCACAAGAGAAACTGCTCTTTAATAACGTGGTTCGCCTGTTCCTGTGTGGTAACACACTAGCTGTAACAGATGTTTGGAGTCAAACAAATCACTGTGTGACTCCCAAGAGGGTTATGGAGGTGACACAATGACTCTTAATCATCATAATGACAATACACACTCTCTTGCTACCTTTTTTTAAAACTTTCTCTTCTGTATCTTCTAACTGAGCTACTGTGTTAACATGCAGCATATAAATATAACTCACATAGTATGACACACATACAAGTTATTTGCATGAAACATTTTTGAGCTTGTGTGTGAACTGCAATGCTTGACATAAGGGCTTGAGTATACCTGCATGTGACTGCACTTGTTCACGTGTCTCACCATTGTCCCTGGCTGCGGATGGCTCGTCCAAGGCCATCTGTTCTGCCAGTTCGGACAGGGAGTCGTCAACGGGCCGAGCGCTGCGTAGGGACATGGACAGCCTCCGCTTGATTATCTTCATCCTGTCCATCTTCTCAATTGCACCACCGGGGCCCAAAGGCCTGAGGGGAGGGGGGGGGGGACAACAAGCAACATCATCATTATCATCATCAGTGCCACCTGCATCCACATCATCATCATGGTCATTGTTCTCATTACAACCATCAACAGCTCGATCCACACTGCCCCGTTAATCTTCATTGTACAGTGAAACTACTGCAGTGCAGCCTCGGCGCATTTTCCACAGTTCTTTGGGCTCCCGATGATTGTGTTTGCTCACTCAGCGTGTGTTCTCATTGTTATGTATCCCAAGTGCAAACATTGCAGAATAAAAGACACAGAATGAGAGAGCAGACCCAGAGAGACAGAGAGAAAGAGAGCAACAAACAAAAAATTTACAAAAAAACATGTAAATGGCTGACTATGCAGCTCCCCAAAGGTTTCAGACAAGAGCAGTTCTCCCGGATGAGCTGTGATTGACATACATTTCACTGGCTCGTCCATCAACTATCCAAAATGAAGTCATGGTATTCCAACAGTAGACATGTACAGTATTCAAGTACAAAAAAAACTAGTACATAAAAGTACATACCATCTAGGACTGATTCTACGGTAGTCAGTTTAAGCTAGTATCCAAGTAACTACAGCCAAACAACTCTGATGGAAAGCTGGTTCCAAATACTGTATATACTAAATGTGGTTACAGGAGAGAGAGAGAAGCATCCCTAAAATAAATGTGAGGAAAAGCACATACTTTTCCAGCAAAGTGCTCTTTATATTCACAGTCGACCCGCCTATGTGTGTTGCGTATTTGCGTCATTCTGTGTGTACCACTTAACGTCAGTGAGCTTTCAACTTTCAAGTTATATATTGTTCAGAGTGCCCCTCAGCAGACATTTAGAATCTGGTTTATGTGTGTATGTACAGTATATGTGGTTTGCATGTGTGTATTTATGTGTTTTGAAGTCACTTTGCACGCCGTGTTCCTCTGCGCTCTGCTTTACTGGCCTGGAGGTAAAGGAAGCTATGGCAGAGTATTTCTGTCCCCCTTCCACTTCCTGCTACTCCTATCTAAGCCATAAGGGCTCGAGAGCTGACATGCACAAGTACACACACACACACACACACACGGCACCCACTGCCTTTCTCTTTGTGTCCAACCTTGGAGGCTTCAACAAAAGCCATTCATCCTTTCAGGCTCTCAGTCTTTCAGGCCTATTAGAGACAGCCAGTGCTCTGAGGGAATTCATACCCAGCGATCCTCACTCAGGACGACTGGCTTTTTTTCACTAGAAGAAGCTTAGGCGAGTATCCATTGCTAACAACATTGCCTCTGCCAATTTACATGAGCCCAGTTGGATGCGGTTTGCACCTCAGCCGGAGGCGTTTCTCCGAGACGAAAAAAAAAGTTAAACAGGGAACAAAAGAACGAAAGGAGAGCAACTCACATTCATTTCATAACATCCGTCACCCATGGATTATCAGTATGGAACGAATCTCCCTCCCCCTTCATTTACATGTTTTCCCAGAATTCACTAGAGAAGAAGCCTGCTCAGACAAGGAAATTGGGTTCTCCTCATGCAACCTTGCAGCAGTCATCCACTGATTTTCAGGAATAAATGACTCACATTACGGGGGAACAGCCGATAATACAATGTGCCACTTATTACCCAGTTAAATACCAGTGTTATCATTAACACACACCTATGCTTGCATCCAGGCATGCCCACACACACATACAGACGCACAATAATGACTAATTTCACAGTCTTCATCTTATCTCTGTTGAATTAGCATGAACTTTAATGCAGTGGAAATCTCATTACCCAGTGGCTCATAGAGGGAAAACTTTAGGTTATCACTGTATATTATATATGTAATTGAGATTTTCAACACTATTTCATGAAATATGGTGTTGTGTATCTTGTAAACAACTACACAAAATAGGCAAACAACATTAACTTTATAGAAATATTTAAGTATTAACTTTTTCAACTAAGTATTCATACTTTGTTTGTAAACTTTTCCCATCTTCTTTTAAAAAAATATTGTATGAAATACCAGATACACCCACTGAACATAAACATTTCTACCTGACAACTACATTTAAGTGGCTTTTTTAAATTACTTTCTATCACAGTTTTAATACCAAACTAATATTTTTGTATATTTGGATCTTTGTTGCAATGCTGCAATATTAGCTTTATGTTAATAAACTTAAAGCTATAGACTGCATTCAGTAGATATTTGAGAGTGTATAAATGTGTCTGTGTTGGTCAAAAAAAATGTTTTAAGAAGAATGAAGTGTTATGAATGTGCGTTGGATGTTGAGTCTTGTCTGGTGCAGATGGACGTGGCAGTGTGAAGAGCTTGGCAGAGGCACAACAGTGAGTGGGACGAGACATGTGGCTCCAGGCTGCAGCATGTGCAGGCCACACTCACCAGACACCCTGCAAACCACGAACAACTCCCACTAAACGGAGGGACACGCTACAGATGACAAAGCCACTCTCACTCCTTTAAAAACACTACCAGCACGGTTTTAGTTGTGTTTGAAAGCAATACAATGAAGTGTTAATGAATTTGCCAGCAGTGTAACATGGGCTGCACAAACACAAACACTAAAGAGCAAAGGTTAACAGGGTGAGTGATACACAGGAGTAAATAATAAAACCATCTCCACTTGTGTATCAAGTTATTTGTGTGTGTCTGTTCGCCTGTGAGCATGTGGACATGTGTTTCCACATGTGTGTGTGGGTGGTTGCTTGGATGTGGTTGCATGGAGGTGAGGTGAAGTGACACACCCCTGAGGAGGACAGGAGGAGGAACATGGTCTGATTTATTCAAGACACACACCATTTGGGTTGCTAGGTTACAGGCCCAGGCTGGAACCGCAGTTTGTGTCTCTGAGGTAAAGAGAAAAAGAAAGGAGGCAGAGAGAGGCTAAAAACTGGGAATTCACATCTCTCTATCTCCCCTTTCTCTGCCACCAGGCACACACAGACACACACATGCTCGTGTCAGCTATAAAAACTTCCAGCCCTCCAGTGCTTGGGATGCCACACAGTGCTGCAGCATGCAATCCCTGCCAGCCTTGCTCTGGGATTCCTCTGCCAAACACACACAGACACAGAATTTACTTTAATCAGTACAGAAGGGACGCCAATATTTAGTTTTAGACAGATGTCGTCTTACCTCATTTCTTTCCTTTTCATCACAAACAAACAAGCATTCTTCCGCAATTCAGTGGCACATGAATCATACGCATGCATGCCCTCACATACAATGTGGCAGAGTGGAATGGGCACTCAGTGGCACTCCGAACGCTGCTTGGCGCAGCGGCCTCAGGATGCATGAGTAATGCACGAATCTGCCCAACTACAGAACCCTACACACATCCACACAAACACGCACACATGAACCAACAGATAACCCGAAAAGTAGTCCATTCTCCTTATAAGCCAAATGGCTCCTCCTAAGCAGCTCTTCTGTCACTTAACCTAAATCTCCTGAGTTAGATGAGGAGAAGGAATTAGACAAAGATGATGAATGAATGAGCAGAAGCACAAGATTGCAAAAGGACATGGCAAAATATCTGAAATGCCATTTCCAGCCACAAGAGGAGGAAGGAGAATAGGGTGTCTGTCTCCATGATTTTCAAATTGCTGTTCCAAGTAATGATCTGTGCTCCACTGTTACTTATTACATTAGACAAAACTTTTCAAACATGTGAATGTCTACGTGTAAAATTAGCTTTGAATAATGCATCTGGAAGACTGGATTTTGTAGAAGGTCACATGATATGAACATACTGTCATGGTATGATTGCAATGAAAACTGGCATAGGATAACATTGAAGAAATACAGCCATTATTTAATATAATTATGCATTATTATTACTGACCACAATGGTGTGCAACTGGGTGACATTCAAAACAAGAAGACACAGATACAAGTGCATCCTGTGCAACTGCACAGTAATTGGTTTTAGGACATTAAACTGTCCGAAAATAAGACCATGCACAAAGCCAAAAACACATGCATGTTACGAACGTTATGAAATTCTGTATTATGTTTATAAAGACTGAAAAATATATAAGGAGGCCCTTACCCAAACTGTATTAAATGTCCCATTATTGTAAAGACAGCATAGGCCATGCTATGCAGTAATAAAGCAGGCCTATTAGGCTATTATTGGTTTGGGATTGTTAGTGATTTTTCTTTATCAGAGTGCAACTGCAAAGGCATTGACGGATGCGCATGATTTTCAATCCGGACATCCCACCCTGAGACGGACATAAATAATTTAGTGCGAGATGATACTCCCAACACGCTGCTAACAAATGAAGTGTCCAGAGCCTTTGCTATTGGCAATAATTGTTCAACCTGTGTTGGTGTTAGTATACTACTTGCCAACAGCGAGCACCCACGAGGTTATCGACAACACTGCAGGACCGTAAGACACACTGTCACATTTGCGGACGATCCCGATATCCCCATGTAACGAGACATGGCTGCAGGCAGAGCGCACATAAGTGGGCAGCGAGCAGCATGTACCGTAAATATCACGGGACTCAAACCAAATACGCAGCGGTTCATGTCGGGCCCGGGCTGGCAGAGGTCCCTCTACCTTCCGGGCCTTTTGCGTTTTCGGTCAGTTCCTCTCTCCCCGTGTTTTCCTGACGCAAGTATCCGGGAGGAGGGGAGTCGGGCAGGGCAAAGAAAAGTTACACAGCCACCCGGCCGACTCAGAAACTCCATGGGAATGAGAGTGGGATCACCTCCGTGGGTATCCCGACGTAATGACTGTGGATTTACACGTTAGGACCCCCGACACCATTATAACATGTCAATATGTTGGTTACACTTGGTGTCCTCATCGCTATGTATCACTTTTTATCTGCTACCGTGGTCACTTTAATTTCCCCACTGCGATTCGGATTTTCAGAGTGATATTTGAAGAGTATCCAAGTGTCCACATTAGTTCCACATAGACGCGCACTTACGCAATAGAACCCAGCCAAAAAAAAAAACTCACCACAAATACCTTTGTTTTTTTAAGAGCCGGAAAAAAAAATAAACTCCACCTGCAATGTCAGGTGATAGGACA